GAGAGGCAACTTTCTCTGACTGGATTTCACTTTCCTTACCATGTCAACTGCAGATGTTAACTTTGGGTGCAGTTTTTCTTATTCCCTCGAGCTGCTGTTTAATTTTGCCTTTCTAAGTGTATTGTGTTTGATGGTATTTCTACCATTATGTTTCTCAGAAAAGGTTGTCTTGCAGTGCCTCAGGGAAGTAGAACCATCATGTTTGCATGAATTACTTTATAGTTAGATGTAAGTAACTCAGAGGTTTGATTTTTTTTAATTATATTTTTTAGAAAAGTTCCGTAACACGGAAGTAGTGTTATTTTTTTGTCACATTGGCTTTCCTTTGCATGCACGTTTGTGGCATGATATGATACTTTGTGAATGGTAAGATGCAATAATCTATTCTTCCACTGTAGAATAATATTATGGATTGCAAATTATGCAACAATTAATTTGAAAAAGTTTGTAATGACAAGTTTTCAGTGTTAGGTTGTATTATTTTTTTATTATTATTATTTTGTAAACACTTCAAATAACGGTAAGTTGAAATTGTGGCTTAGATTTAAAGAAGTACAAATACCTGACATGATTCAGAAAACCCTCCTTTCTGTTGCAGGTTAGATCAGCTGTTGTCCTTGAGAGTCCTCGGTTGCGCTCCTGCTTTGTCAGAATTGACCGCATGCGTTTAGTTATTTGCCTCCAGATCTTCTGTCGAGTATGGCCCTGCTGAAGGGCAGTGCCCACTGAGAACTCTCCTCAGGCAGAAGCTCAACTGTGACAGACTACCGAGAGCAGTACTGCAGAAACTATGTAAGCTGGTTTTGCGCTTCTGGAGTAAACATGATGAAAACGGAGTCTTCAGGAGAAAGATCAACCCTCCGAAGTGCCTCTCCTCACAGGAATGCTTACAGAACTGAGTTCCAGGCGCTGAAAAGCACCTTTGACAAACCAAAATCAGATGGAGACCAAAAAGCGAAAGAGGAAGGAGAGGCCTCGCAGAGCAGGGGAAGGAAATATGGCTCAAATGTCAATAGGATTAAAAACTTGTTTATGCAGATGGGCATGGAGCCCACTGAAACTGCTGGAGTTACCCCTAAAACCAGGGGGAAGGGTGGCCCTCCATCACCTCAAAGACGAATTAGGCCTAAAGAATTTGTCGAAAAAGCAGATGGTTCAATCGTAAAATTAGAATCATCCGTCTCGGAAAGGATTAGTAGATTTGATACTATCCATGATGGTCCTTCCTATTCCAAGTTTACTGAAACTCGGAAGATGTTTGAGCGAAACGCTCATGAAACGGGACATTCCAATCGCTATTCCCCAAAGAAAGAGAAAGTAATTTCCAATGAGCTTCCAGATGAATGGTGCAGCTCTAAGTCTCACAGAGGCAGCACTGATTCACTGGACAGTCTTAGCCCAAGGACAGAGACTGTCTCTCCAACTGTGAGTCAGCTCAGCGCAGTTTTTGAGAACACTGACTCACACAACGTAATCGTTGTAGAAAAGTCGGAGAACAACGAAGAGTACTCTGTAACTGGTCACTATCCGCTAAACCTCTCGTCCACTGTTGCAAATATCTCCTCCCCGGTTGCAAACCTTGAGGGTTTCAGTCCTTTGAAAGATGCCAGCACATGGTCTCCCCCAGCCAAACAGAGTACAGGCATGATGTCTGTTGAGAACTCTCAGCAGAATAGCACGCCTTCAACACCAAGACAGAAGACGTCGACAGGCACTTCGGCAAGTTCAAAAACAACTGAAGAAATAAAGAAGAGTACAGAGGCAAGTGCTGATTCTGTTGAGAGCTCTTCAGCGAGTCAGCAGGATTTGGTCAACAGGCTTGACAGCGAAAGAGCTGTGGACAGCTGTGCTAGGAGTAAGTCAAAAACAGAGACAGATGTTTCGTTGCAACAAAAGGAACGGTCAGAACAAGCAGAGGGTATCTTTGATAGACCTGAAGCTACAGAATTACCAAGAAATGTAGCTTCAGGTGGTGATTTTGCCACAGATGCTGTTTCAGATGTTACCGAGTCCCATTATGATGAGGCAAGTGAAAAAGAAGTGCATGAAGATGTGAATAATTTTCAGAGTTCCCACGTGTACATGCACTCTGACTACAATGTATATCGGGTACGATCGAGATATAATTCTGACTGGGGAGAGACAGGTACAGAACAGGATGATCAGGATGACAGCGATGAAAATAACTGTTATGAACCTGATATGGAATATTCTGAAATTAATGGATTGCCAGATGAAGATGAAATCCCAGCCAATAGAAAAATACAGTTTAGCCGTGCTCCAATTAAGGTAAAGTTTCCTACATTCTTTTTCTGCAGTTTGGTTCATTTTCAAATACAACTCTATTTGAAGTAGATTTTGACAGCTGATCTCGGCTCTGAAAAGATTGCAGAGGATCTTTCAATACACATTTTTATTACAGTCAGCCAGCGAGCGTAATCTTAAATGAAGTAAGGAAGCTGAGGTCTGATGAGCTTGTGTCATTTCCTAGACTACTTGATGGCTGACTAAGCCAGCAGAAATTTAGAATGACAGCTGGGTTTGTGAAGTTTTAGAATTTTAACATGCATGTTTTGACTTACATGACTGAACTGTAATCACATGGTGAAAAGTAGAAGTGGGTATTTGGTGGCCTTTGTGCTGCTTGGTTTTTGTTTTTCTTTTGAAATCACAGCTTCTTTAGATCAAATGGCTTTTCTTCAGCTCTCATCCAATGTTCTTTAAAGTCCCTGTATTTAAACACTGTGTCATGAAATACAGTGTGATTCTGTCTCACTAGTAGAGGACTGATAATATTCTGCATCTGAATTAGTCTCATCTTTTCTAATAGCATTGTCACTTTTTTAAACTTTTAAAACATTAATATGTGTATATCTAGTATATCTCAGTGCTGCAGAAGTACCTTGAAATTGCATCTAAGAATGTTTTTTCAAGTACTTTTGGTTCAGGAAAGAATAAATAGTTGTGTTTTGTTGTACCAGCTTTTCACTGCTGAGTCTCAGGGTTAAGTATAAAAGTATTTTATTTCCAAGTTGTTTTTAATGCAAGTGGTCTCAAATGGACAGTTCTAAAACATAGTCATTTTTCTAGAAATTGCTCTCGAAACAGCCAGATATCATGGAGTACTTGAAATCTAAACATTTTAAAATTAAAAATATGTAATTGAAGTTGACTGTATTTTCATTGTGTGACTTTAGCAATGAAAATTACTAAATCAACAAACAGAAGTTTCACTGTCAAAGTTGAAGTAATGTGATTTACAAAATCTGCATTTACACCCCCTGTGGTTTAAGTTAGGGTCAGATGTATATTTGTATTAGGAAATTTTCATCTGAGTGAAGCAACCAGGTTTTCACATCTGTTTATTGGGGGGGGTGGAGGGAGGGGAACAGCCTTGTGTTCTTCATGCTTTGAAAAGACCATTTTTTACACTGAAACAAAATATTCCAAGCCAAGATAATGGAGTATTTTTTTTAGTGTTGTTTTGTTAGTGTTTTATTCAGGCTTGCGTCATGGACCAAAAATTCTAACAGTGTTTGTGCTCCGTCTAGATTATTCCCATAATCAAACTAGCTCGTTTTCTTTAATTTTTTTTGGAGATGAAGTAGAGAAAACTTATTACAAAGGATTATGGAAGTTCTCTCCTCCTCCTCCCCACCTTCCCCCTCAGCCTGTACTAACAGACAAGATGATGTTCTCTCTTCTGAAAGATCTACCAATTATGTGCAGAGGTTTGCTTTATCATATTTATTATGGCTCCAACAGATAAGAATCCAGAAAGTGACTCCAGTGATTTTATTCTTGAGATGGTTGGATTTTTCTGCTGTGTCTGTTTTGAAAGAGCTAACAGTGACATCCTTACTTCAGTATATTGCTGTCTTCTGTCTGAATCATGCTGTCATGCCAACTGCTATAAGAGTATTCTCTCAGTTATTTAGTTATAATTTTTTTTCTTCTCAAGTTTCTCATGCTGTGTTCATTTCAGATTACATATTGTCAAGTAATAATAACAGTCCATCAGGAAAATGCTCTAAAAGTAATTTGTCTAAATAATAAAAGTGTACATTTGTCATGGTTTTAAGCATAAAGCACTCTTAACAAGCTTATCCAAAGTAAAAGAATCATTGCTTTAATTATTTTAGCATCTTTATTGTAGATAGGAAGAAAACAGAATAAAAGCTGTGTTGAAAGAGAACTGTGTAGGAGGGATTGGGAGGTTTGGGAGATCCCCTGCTTTTTGTCCCGAGTGCCTCCGGTGCATGCAATCTGCTAGTCACATGGGGAAACAGAAGTGAGACCATGTGGAAGGCTTGCACTAGGAGGAAGAAGTGCAACAATGCTGTGGAAAATTAAAAGCTGCTTCTCAAGCCTTCCTCCCTTTTCTCCACAGCACTCTAATTCCCTGGGCAGTGTCAAGCAGCGTAAGCCTGGGCAGGCTGCCAGCAGCATCAGGTCACTGCCCGGCCACGCTGCCACGGGCAGGGACCTGGGAAGGGCAGCTGGAGAATCCCCAGGTGGGTCCTCAGAGGCTCCCGAGTCTGGGCTCCTGCGCTGCCTCTCTGACAGCGCTGCCAATTCGGCACGCTGCTAGGAGGTCGTGAACTGACCAGTTCTGCCCAGCAGATAGGTACCAACGAGCAGTGCAGAGGGCAAGGGGCACTTGTGTTCTGTGCCCTCGCACAGCGCTAGTGTACGAATTTACCCAAACTCTCCCTTTACCCCTCCGTTACATGGGGATGATGCTTGCTAGCTGAGTGGACAGCAACAATTTAGGAATTTTTCTGTTCTAGGCAATTTTGTGTGTTAGTGGGCATAACTCACGTAATGGGGTTTCATTAATACTTTCGTTAATACTTTCCTGAACGTCATCTCATGCATAGTGTAACTCAGAGAGGAAAATACAAAGCAACGTAGGAGTATTTTCTGAACTGTTGAAAACTGATTTACGTTTATTAAAATTAAGCCATTTGTACTTAACTACTGTGCTAGATAGTGGTGTTAAAAGTCCAACCCAAACTCAAGATGTTTAATGCTGATTTCACAGTATTGTACCTCCACTCTCCTCCTACAGGTGAGCTCTGAAATAATTAACAAAATTGGCATTTGAATGTGTAACCTGTGAAACGAGTGGATAGCTGTTGCCATAAAGTTGTTACTTGAAGGTCTCAACAGGTTTAAGTAAACATCTTTGAAATATTTTTCCAAGGGTTTTTTCAGGTAGATGTGTAAGAAGTAAATGAGAAGAGTGCTGAGACTGAAGAGCAAAGAGATTCAGTTACCACCAAAAGGAATCCTTTCTGTCCCTTTAGGGGAAATGCCTTGGACTATGAAAAGTAATGAAGTATAGGCAGAAGGATGAATAAATAAAATCTTAGTCATCCAACTGATAAAGACTGAATTCTGCTCATCTCCCAAGCAGGTTATTAAGAAACTCGCTATAAAGACTCAAGTCAACGGATACAGGAAATTCTGCTCTGTTACAGACTGTAATTTCGCTATCACAGATCCCATGCTCCATGGACCATTTACTCTGCTCTAGGATTATGGGATATGTTTGCTGATTTCGTGTCTGTTGAAAATTAGTCCCTTTAGAAGTAGGTGGCTGCCCAGGGGCCATTGCAGGCTTGGAGAGTTTCTGGGTATTTAGAGTGTGGCATCACTGATGTGAGCAGTTGTGCGTGTCTGTGGGAGTTTAAGTCAGCTCTATGCTGTTTGATTAAAAAATAGCCTAAAAGGGCCCAAGACTTGGTGCTGGTAGTGGGAGTGGACATTAGTGTGTATGTTGCTAAACAAGGTATGTGCACGTTGATAGACTAGTTAATATGAGTGTTTATATAGTGATATAGAGGCCTTCATCGGCGCTTGCCCATTCTTGTCTTGAGGTATTGTGTTTCTGCTCAGGGATAGAACTGAAACTCTCCAAGGCAAGTGTAAGAGGTGAAAAAGTTAAGTAAATGTAATGAGAAAAAAAATACCCTGGTTTTGCCAGAGGTACTTTTCTACACACAAAAAAGCAGAAACTGTGATTTATTGGCCTTTTGTTGAGTTTTATGTGTTTTCCTGAGGGTTGGGTTATATGCCACTTCCCAAACATTGTGGGCTAATTGGACAAGATTTGCAAGTAGTGCAAAATTCATTAGCTCCTGGCTTTCCGCACTCTAGCAAATGGAAATGTATTGAATGCCCAAATCATAGTCCTTTTTGAGCCATGCTTCCTCCGTCCTGGATAGAATTAGGGTGGAAGTGCAATGTTCACCTCTTCTTCTCTCCAAGTCCAGAATGTCTGGTATCTTGATAGCTGATGGCTGCATCTCCAGTTAGTGCCCTACTTCTGACACCAGGTACCGGTTAAACCGTTTAAAGCTGTTAGCAGCAACTGGTATCTCCTGCAGAGCCTCCTTCTGCTCCACTGACTTGGCCCTACCCAGCTAAGGGGTTGGGGAGGGTTGTGTGATCAGACCGTATGGCAGACAGCAGGTAACTTGCGGTGCCATTGAGGGGTTTCAGCCCAAGCTGCTGCTGCAGTTTTCAGGTTCCATAAAGCTTCCTTAGGGTGCAGTGGTGAAGGGACCTCTCTGCAGACCTCTCTGAGTTTTGGGGTAGGTGGGAGAGAGGGTAACAGGAATGGAAGAGATGTAACAAATGGCTCTTCCATGCTTCAGCTAATTCCGTATGAAGGGATTATGATCACTAGTGCACGTACCTCATGTGCTTTTCCTCTTCTGTTGTGCAGCATGACTGAATCTTAGACGCTACAACACTTCAGTTTTCCAGATCGTGTTTTGTTCAAATGGTCTTGAGGAATTGGAATTTGTGCTTCTATCTCTTTCTCTCTGTCTTTTTTAGTGTGAGCCTTTGAAGAGGTTTTACAAGAAGTGGTGTGACTGTAGTTTAGTGTAAATATAAATGACATTTGTATTTAACAGTTGTTTTGAAATTTCTTATGAACCATATCATGATTTTTCTTATAAATCAGTTCAAGGAGCAAGTCTTTAAGTTACTCCTCATTTCTCTCACTAAAATGTATTCAGGAATCTAAATAGTGGTGAAGAAAGAATCTAAAACAATCTGACACTCTAATTACTTTGGAAATTTTTACTCTCTAAAATAATATTATTCTTTGTCTGGTAAGCATAAAAATAAAGTCTGCTGGAAATATTTTCAAGTTTTAGTGTTGGGAAAGAAAGTATTTCTTTGCCTGATTCAATGTTTAGGACAGTATTTACCTGTTGTTAAAATGCTGATGAACTATTTCGGATCATAGAAGTCATAAGTGAAAGTTACCCATC